AGACATGTCCAGACATGCTGGGACTGGCTGACCTGTGTGTGTCTGTCATTTATTTTCAACTTCAATACAAATGTCCTTGTGTTTCGCATGACTAAAAACAATACGGAGAAGAGAAGAGTTTGGGGTGGAAAGGTTATCATGAGTATGAACAACAAATTTTCCATTAGATATAAAGTATTTGTCAGTGATATTCTTTGAGATAACTCTCACATGGATTAATGAGTTGTTCTTGGTCAAACAGCCCCCTGACATTGCTAAGATTGGTTTAGTGAGTCAGAGATTCTGCACAGAGGTGCGTTTCATGAGCTGCTTGTGTTTGGATGTGACTTTAGCCCTCCTTTTCCTCTTGAATGCAGTGGAAACAGATGGCTCTGCCTGATACCACCCACTGGCAACCAGAGATCAGCACCTTTTATCTCTCAAATACAAGAGATCAGCGTGACACACTAAGGCCCTTTGCAATGAAGCTCTACAGCACTGTTGGAAAAACAAAAATGACCATATAGCAAAACATTTGCTAAATAAAAAATGTATATGTTACTGGTCAAATAAATTTGATTAACCATGACTGCATTGGACATCAGCCATAATTGTTGATAAGCAAATCAGGCTGCTGTGGAAGGTTACAATAAAAGGCTTTCCATGACTACAAGCAAGTTCGTGGCAGATATCCAGGTTGTTCAATGCTCTGTGTGAATGATTGCCTGGCTTGCGGGGCATTGTTCAGTGTGTCTGCCCATGTAGCCCATTTTGACAATAATTTACGGGGCTGCTCTTTACTTAGAGATGCACTCGCAACAGTGAGCGTGGACCACTTAGTGACAACATTAGTTGAGAAGAGAGACCCTCACTGGAATACAACAATATTCAGATTTAATTGAGCTTCTAAACAGGTAAGGAAATTTGGGGTAACCCCTTCGCCATGGCCAAGTACTACATACTAAACAAATATTTTGGTGATTTTTTAAAATGGTTTTGGAAGTCATATTAACACTCATGGCTTGTTGAGATTTACTTCACTGCTTTTGTGTTTTGGGTCTCAGAGATCCCAATGATGTAAGGGTAAAAATAATATTTTTAAATTTTTATATGTTATTCTAACCTATTCAAAATATATTTGACAGCTATTTTTAAAGCTTAATCCCTCACAATGTGGGCATGCACTTATTTAGAAATGCCATTACTGTCTAGTATAGTAACAATGTTTCTGTTTGGTGTCAATTTGACCCCCCCCCCCCCTTATATTTTTTATATAAATATAATTTTATAACATAATTTTATATATATTTATGTATAACTTTTATTATAATTATTTTTAGTAATCTTAAATAATAGTTTCTGTGACACCAAATATACAAAAATATATAATCAAGTGTAATCAAAAGTGTATCTATCTATCTATCTATCTATCTATAGTTGAAATTTTAATTTTAATTCATTATGACAAAATGTAGAAAACTTAGGAAGTACCAACCTAATACTTAAATATACTTTTAAATATATTTAAGTTTAAACAAAATGAGTTTAAACTATAAATGTGCTTCTCAGAGAAACTTGGGAAGATGTTGTTCATTTTTAAGCATATGTCAAACTTCTGACTCAAGAGTCACTTTAGCTTGTATATTCTTGCTGCTCATGGTGTGTGACAGTAGTTGACAGTAAGGATGTGCTCATTAAATGATTTCATCTGAGTGAGGATGCACAATTGCTTGCTGTTCTTTTCTAGTGACTCAGTTGTGATTGTGAAAGACTCATTCTTACTCTCTATCCTACCCATACCTGTACTTTTACCCGTTTCATGCGCTCGCATCACTTGCTGTTACTATTCTACATGTGTGTAGAGCGGTAAACTGTGGTGAAAGTTTTGGCACAAAGATTAATATCTCTCAAGAGTGGTGTGGAGGCAAAGACTGGGGAGAGGCAGAAGAGTGGTGAACTGAACTTGAGGTGTGGAATACTGTTGACTAAATCTGAGTACTTTAACAGCAACTCACTGCACAGACAGGTGGGAACTTCCCTGACGGTGTTAAGAAAAGTTTCGTACATTGAAAAGAACCTCATTTTCTCTTAAAGAAGCTCTTCGGGTTGGCTTCCAAGAAACAGATTAAACCAGGTGCCCAGGTTAAAATCAGTTTTTATCTTTTTCAATTGTTATCATCAACTGCAACTTAATCTAGGACTCGAGCTGTGTCTCGAAAACCATTCTTGTGAGTCTGGCCCAATAAACCGCTCAAATTGAAATTTATATCCTCTTGATAATAAAATATTATCATAAGAATCAAAACCTCAGCAAATCAGATTCATAAAAATGCATTTATCAAATTATCAATTAACATCTCACAGGTCTTTTTTCAGTCTTCCTGCCCTTCTGATGTTATGCCTTCATATATTTTTAAAGAGGTTTTTCCAGTTTTGAGTCCGATCGTGACTGCTACTATTAACAGCTCTCTAGTCAATGGGGTGGTACCAGCTTTTAAACATGCTATAGTACAACCATTGTTGAAAAAGCATCATCTTGATCAGCATATCATGAATAATTACAGACCCATTTTTAAACTATCTTTTATTTCAAAAGTCTTGGAAAAAGTTGCCTACTCTCAAATTTCATCTTACCTAAGCATTTTGGTGTTTTTGATCCTTTTCAGTCTGGTTTCAGGGAATGACACAGTACTGAATCTGCGTTGGTGAAGGTTACCAAGGACATTTTACTCACTCTTGACTCTTGGTTCTTGCTGTATTTTAATCCTGGTTGATTTAAGTGCAGCATTTGACACAGTAGATCATAAAATCCATTTACAAAGACTCAATCATGTAGCTGGGTTTCAGAGGTCTGTGCTGGAGTGGTTTGCCTCTTACCTCAAAGAGAGTACCTTTTCTGTTAATGTAGGCAAATACTTCTCATCTTGTGCACAAATTTCTTATGGTGTTCTGCAGGGTTCCATTTTGGGTCCTCTTTTTTTGCATTATATATGCTTCCCCTAGGTCATATTATTCAGAGACACAACTTATCTTAACATTTCTACACTGACGACACTCAGCTTTATCTTCCTGTTAAAGATGACAGCTGTTCTGTGTCCAGTTTGTTTGATTGTCTGCATGACATAAAATACTAGATGGACATTAATTTTTTACAGCTAAACAATGACAAAACTTAAATAATTATCTTTGGTCCATCGGTTCTGACCTATGAAATTGTCAATCACCTTGGTCCCCTCTCTTCTAATGTACATGACTGTGTCAAAAACCTTGGTGTTATATTTGATCCCACCTTGGATTTTGATAAACAGATTAGTGCTGTCATGAAAAGCAATTTCTTTCAGTTAAGATCTATTGCTAGACTCAAGATGATGAGAAGGACCTCGAAAGTCATTCATGCTTTCATAACATCAAGGTTGGACTACGGTAATTCGCTCTAACTGGGTTTGTCTAAATCAGCTTCAGATCGCTTGCAGATGGTACAAAATGTGGCAGCCAGATTACTGACCGGCACTAAAAAACATGAGCACATTACACCTGTGCTTGCCTCTCTTCACTGTTAAGTTTTTTTTTAAAGCTTTTTAAAGTTTTGCATGGACTTGCACCTCAGTACATTTGTGATCTTCTCAATCCATATGCTGCTTCAAGACCCCTTTGATCATCTAGTCAAATGCTACTCTCAGTTCCACATTCTCATTTTAAAGCTAAAGGTGAGCAGGCTTTCTCGGTGGCTGCCCCTTGGCTCTAGTCTTCCTCTCTATATTAGATCTGCTTCTTCTGTTTCTGTGTTCAAATCCTTTTTGAAGACCTATTGTTATTCTTTGTGTTTTCATTCTTCATGAGGGTGTTAATTTTCATTTGTCCATTAGGTTTTGTTTTGTATACTGTCTAGTCTTTTATTTTGTTTTAATTTTGTTGTATATTTAGCACTTTGGTTTCAACATCTGTTGCTTTAAATGTGCTTTATAAATCAATAAACTAAACTAAATACGTAATTTTTATTGGGCATATCTAACATTCACAAAAATTTTAAACAACAACCTAACAAACAAGCTTTTTTATGCAAGTAGATCAGTTCCAAACAGGTAGTTTGATGGCATTTTGGCCCATTGGCCCAACAACTTCAGATTATTGATTTTGAGGTTCATTTACATTCAAATTCAGGAATTTAGCTTGACAGTTTTTTTCTCTCTTAATAATATAAGCTTTATTCTGTGTTATAGCCTTTAATTCATAGATCTACTCTGTTTAGGATTATTCATGTGTTTTTGGAAGCACATTTGTTCAATCTTAAGCTGACACACTATTGTTTTTCTCATATTGGATTTGTGACTAGTCATAATGTCACTCTCACAATTCCTTACTCTGACCTTTTTAATGGCCTACTGATGCAGTGAACACCTTTTAAAATGATTTTGCGGGACACAGAGCTGAATTTATAGGACCGGGACAAAATTATAATATTGGACCCCAGCCCCCATACACTCAGAAGCATTTATTTACAGGCTCCCTCTAGTCCCAGGGCCTGGGACAATTTTGCTGGTTGTTCCCCCTTGATGGCAGCTCTGGTTGGACACCCTTTATGAGAAGGAGTAACACCGAGTACCACACTCCATAACCATGGATTTATGAGGGCCAAATTCTTGCGTAGTGACCTATAACTAATAAATCTCAATTACCGTTTAAATTAGATCCATATAAATGTTTTTGGGTCAAGGAAACGATCTAATTCAGAAACCTGTGTCATTGAGGAAACAATAGTCAAATTTCAGTTTGTGTTACTGGGAAAGGCCCTTTGTCTCATACCTGATTGTGACTGTATGAATTTAACCACTGACCTCACATGGCCTCTTTTACAGAGTTGACCATCCTGTAAGTTCACATCTTTTTCAACAAATACAATGTGGGTAATTCCCAGGAAATGATGTCATTTGTGTCTGAATGACTTACTACAGATACAGTATAATGAATATAATACTGAACTTTTGACTTTTGACTTGATTTAACACTGATTACTGTAGTGTGAAAAAATCTTAATTTAGTGTTTTTCATTGAATAATAAGTCAATAAGTGTATCCTTATTCATCACTTTTAAACTGTGATGGATAATATGGAATTCTATCTAATGTAGCTTTTACTAAAATTAAAATGCCTTATACATTTTCAGAGAAGAAGCAGAATTTGTCTTTGTCCCTTTCAAAATTGCACTTTCTTTGCAATTTTTTTAAAACAGAAATAAAATATTGTTTTTGGCACAATGCACAAGAATACTGGCAGTAAAATATTAGGTGGTGCAATGATAGTTGCTCAGGCTGGGAGCAAAGACGTTTTAGCACTGATCTTCAACCCCAAAACATTTAGAATGTAACAGGACTGGCACACAACACAAAGCTTTAGGGTTCGTAATGATAAATATCTATTGCTACTTGCAAAGCTGTAAGCACATATTTAGGATTGAGATAGCAGTTTAAGAATCAGCCATTGAAAAAAAGTGCTAGTCTGAATGTTTGTTGGACTGCATCCCATTATGGTGGTTCCCTCAATGGTGGTGAGCCCCTACCAAGTATTGAGTACATATGCAGTAAATGAACATACTTTCCAGAAGGAATGCTTTCCAACAATTCACTAAAAATGTTTTTATGAAGTATTCTATTTTATGTTCTTATGAAGTATTCTAATTTGTTGAGATTGTGAATTGGTGGGTTTTTGTTAAATGTGAGCCAAAATCATCACAATTAAAAGAACCAAAGACTTAAACTACTTCAGTCTGTGTGCACTGAATTTATTTAATACACGAGTTTCACAATTTGAGTTGAATTACTGAAATAAATGAACTTTTCCATGACATTCTAATTTATTGAGATGCACCTGTGTATATATAAATATATAAATACTTCATTTGTAATATATTATTGAAAATATTTATATATAAATAAAACAAAATTGATTGAATAATTATATATTTTAATTCACCCAAAAATTTAAATTTGCTGAAAACCAGCCAAATGTAGTTTAGTTTTTTTTTTCTTTGGATCTGATTTAGAGAAATTTAGTATTACATCACTTGCTTACCAATGGATCCTCTGCAGTGAATGGGTACCGTCAGAATGAGGACTCAAACTGCTGATAAAAAAACATCACAATAATCTACCAATTAGTCAAACAATTAATCCGATGAAGAAACAAAAAAAATATCTACTGTACATTTTAGATGGCCTGAGGGTTAGAACGTTTTCAGCAAATTTTATTTTTTGGTTGAAATATTCCTTGAAAATTCTCTTTATTGCTATAAATAAGGTCAAAATTATTGTAAGTCTATATATAATTTTACATATACATTGTGAAATGTACAGTGAAGAAATTAAAATCAGCTATATTAATCAATACAATGTGATGTGTGTCCTCACAGATTTCTTCATCATGGCCAATCAGCCTCTACTACTGTCTCAGGAGACTTTAGCTCAGTTCAATCACTCCATGGCCACAGAACCAGGTGCCTCAGGACCTCCAAGGCGACGTCTGGGCTCTATCTCCACTCGCCGAAGCTCCAAAGACCAATCCAAGGACCAGCCCCGCCACAGACCCCTGTTCCTCAGGGGCATGACGGTTCCTTCATCTGAGTCATCGTTCTTGAGCGCCAACATCAGCAATTCTCGCATCTCCATGGGCAAGCGGTTCTCATTCGCAGGCTGGCACCAGGGAGGAAGAGTAAGCTTCTCTGGACTGTACCTTCAACAACCAATCCAGGAGGTTTATGTGGAGAACACCTACAGAATGGGACCAGAACCAGGGTGCCATTTCAATGCTAGCAGGACCCAGCAGATCTTACAGGCCACTTTGGATAGTTATTTGGAAGGTGTGTGTCACAGTCCTGATAGTTGTAGTCAGCTTTGTCAGATGTTAGCAGATCTAGTTCTCAGTAAGCTAAAAGATGTCAATCCACCACGATATAAACTTGTGTGCCAGGTGGTGGTCGGACAGAGTGGTAAACAAGGTATAAGTGTGGCCAGCCGTAGCCTGATGAACCCCAACACTGACAACTACACATCTGCTGTTTTCCAAAATCACTCACTGTTTGCTGTGGCTTTAGTACACGGTATGTACTTTGAATGAAGGCTATATCAACAATACTTAATATCCGAATGATTTTTGCCATAAAAGACAAATCTATCATTTTGACCCATACAATGTATTTTTGGCTATTGCTATAAATATACCCCAGCGACTTAAGACTGCTTTTGTGCTCCAGGGTCACATTTATTATATACCACAACCATCACACACACACACACACATATATATATATTAAACAGTAATATAGTGTGAAATATCATTACAATTGTTAAGAAAGGATTTTTTAATAGTCAAATAGGGTCAGTACAATTTTTTTGGTTGTTTCTGAATTAAGTCTCTTATATCATAAAGTTTTTCCATTTGAATACATTTTTAAAAATAAATTAATACTATGATGGTAAAGCTGATTTTCTAGCAATCATTACTTCAGACTTCAGTATCATATTTTATCTACAAATCGTAATTTTATATACACTTTTTATTTTATTTTTTTGGATTTTATGCTATAAGAAAATAAAAGACATAAGCAGTAACATGTTTTTATTTTCTGCCTTTGATCATTCTTTTTAACAAGTGCTGTCAAACGATTAATTATGATTAATCACATCCAAAATAAAAGTTTTTATTCACATAATATATGTGTGTTTACTGTGTATATTTTATATATATATATATATATAAATACACACAAACGAACAAAATAGGGTCAGTACGTTTTTTTTGAAAGTTTCTTATGCTCACTTAATTTAATGTCTTGCTGAGGAAAAAAAAAATAAAAAAAATAAACAATTTTAAACCATATTATATAGTTTAAATTTAATTATCTTTAATCCTTTAATTGTCTTTAAAATCTGAAAAAGAATAAATTCAAGAGACAGAAAATTTATATTTTCAATAAACTTTATTCCCCCCCCTCGCTCCCAATACATAAAAAGTGATCATACTGAACATTTCCCAGTGTTGACACCGTACAATTATGTTACATCAATAAATAAAAAACTATAAATAAAAAAATAAATAGAACACGTGCCACAATTAATTAATAATACTTGTTAGGATTTGTCTGAGGGTAATGGTTTTCACGATGTTGGTATTCTGAACACTTAACACTTACAGCCATGGTCACAGTTTTGAGGACATTATGATTACTTATGATGGAGCATGTCAAGTAAACAAAGCTGGAGGCACACTGAATACATAGTCTTCTTTTTTTCTCAAGTACAGACATTAAAGATATAATAACTTCTAACAGGCAAAAAGCTTATATCAGCTGTGTATTTGTAGTGTTTCTTCTCCCACTCCTGCCTAATTCACTTGGAAAACCGAATATGAAGACTCAATATAAAGCCCCTTTCATTCCCTTTGTGACTTAGACTTGAGATTCAGGGCCATTATTGCACAGAGGAATCCATCAGAAAGGCACTTTAGTCTCTCCCACTCCTAACTGCTCCTCCATGAATTACAGTTCCACCTCAGCCATTTACCTCTGCCATCTTTAAAACTAATCTCATTAAAAGAATAACCATTTGGTGTCCGTAGCTCTTCTTGTTTGTGTACTATTTAGTGAAATAAAAAGTCTTTAAAAAAAAACAAAAAACAGGTGATAGAGCATAAAAAGCCACGCCCATCTTGCGCAGTGTTTGGGACACTGCAAGCAAAATCAAGACGCTTAAGAACCCTGTGAGTTTTATGCCATCTGCACTTCAGTCCAGCTAAAAAAAAAATAAACATAAAAAAATAAAAAGAACAGGCTCAAATTTTGGTTGTGCACACTGTGAGTCAAGCTGGTAGTGATACTGTTGGTGTAGGCTCAGTCGCAAAAACAACAAAAGAAAACCAAACAAAACAGTGCACCATAGTTCAAAGAGGCCAGCCAATGACCAAGGACAGGAGATCTTCGTGGCAACGTGGAAGCTTCCCCTGATTTTTTTCTTTGTCATAGTCCTTTTTTGCTTCTCAAACGGAAGCGGTAAGCAGCAAATCGCAATCGAAGTTCTTAGGCATTATGCGTTGGTGTAGTGCTGGAGGAGCTGTACCACATAATGAAGCCGCTGCCGGAGCTCCGAAGAGCAGCCCCATTCGGAAAGCACGTTCAGAGGGTAGGAATTAGAGACACGCTCCTTACTGATGTAGGTCAGCAGGTACGAGGAGTCCGAGGTCTTACACAGGATGATTTTTGTGTGGTCTGTGTAAAAATTAACCTGCGAAAGAAAGCGGATAGAAGGGGTACGTTATGAATCGGCCAAGCAACACAAATCGTCAATGTTTCATGTGTTTTTGCATGATCAGAGACTTACCTGTAGGGTTCGGTTGTCAAAGAGCATGACTAAGGCGTGATCAGTTTTGATCCACTGCAGAAGCAATGGAGAAGAGCTTTGAGGTGGCTGGTCCTCACAGTTGATGTCTCCACCCTAGAAAAAGGAAAAACTTGTTTTATAAAATAAACTATAAAACTTAAAAATATTTAGAAATTAGAATTTAAATTAGTTATTTAATAGAGTATCTCATAACTCAAATGTTTAAAATGATACATTTGAGGGCTAATTTCTGGACTTACCTCCATCAGGTTCTGCTCCATGTAGTTAGCCATCAAATCCACTATGTGTTTTTGATTCTGGAGCTTTTCTGGTAGAGCATCAGCCGGAAAACTAAAGTGTTTGTTGTTTGTCAGACAGTAACGTACAGTCCTGCGGAAGAATAAAAAGTAGAACTTCACAAATAAGGTAAAGCTACTTAAAACAATTCGGTCGAAAGCAGAGACTTTGTAAAGGGTAAAGCACTCTATGTGGGTCAATCAGAGCTCAGTCCAAATGCCAAACTGGAGACTCGGAGAATGGGAGCACAGAAAGTAAGCTGACGTACCTCCGCTGGTCACACAGGCTCAGATGAGTGCCTTCGTTGAAGAGTACGCCAATGTTTTGATTGGAGAGCTGGTAGCCGAAGCCGTATTTGTTGGAGTAGTCGACCCACTTGGTTACCCATATGAAAGGCTTGGTTTTAGAAAGGCAGGGTGGGTTTCTTGAAGCTAGAAGAGGAAAGGACAATATTTGAGTACATGATCAATGGCTTAAGAGTAAACCTTGAAAATGGCCATCGCTTAAGCACCTCAGTGTGACCAGAGTGTGGGAACAAACCTGTTGGCATGGAAGACAAGCAGCTGTTAAGAACCTTCATGGCAGATTCGGCTACAGCAGCAGGGGTAGGGATATAGTCACTAGCTGAAGGGGGGGGGGAACAAAAAAAACCAAAGTCAATTATTTATTTATGGACAGCAATTGAAAGCGATTTCATTACTTGAATAATAATAATGAAATATATTAGTGGTGTCTTGGTTATATTTTATATTATATTATAGACAACAGTTGTTCTGCTTTACATTTTTGCAGAAAACCATGACCCTAAACTTTTGATTGGTAGTGTAAATGCAAAAAGGTAGACAAATCAATGAAGGGTAGAAATGACAAGTCACCTTGCTGCTAAACTAAGCAAAAACACAGCAAAAATTAAAAACGAATTAGGCCAGGATGTTTTTGGACAAACTTGTTCTTAATAGCGGCCTTTGAAAGCCTGGGGGTTGAGCCTAAAATAGGCCGCACACATACACATGCAAAACTATTTGCTACTATATGTCTGAGCAAATTCGCTTCTACGGTCCCTTACCATCAGTGCTGCTGGCGACAGTGCCTTTGAAGGAACGAGACCCAGACTTCCTGGACTCCTCCTCGGCCGGGGTGTCCAGAGGGCCAGAGCTTGCCAGTTGAACCGTGGGAGAAGTGGCCTGAGTATCAAGAGGAAGTCATATTGTTTTTACAATCATAAGTACTGCCTTGTACTCCGTTTCAAACAATTATCATGCACAGTGGACAACTATTTTCCAATCTCATGTCCCAAGCTTAAAAGATCTATTTGATTAACTTAGCGACTGTGTGGGTTTGGTCAGTACGGAGTTAATCTGAGACATTCAGCACAATAGCTGGACGATTGCACTATTATTCATCTACAGCAGCTTTCAAAACACGTTCCCACAGAGCCCACTTTAGCTGTGCTGAAAAACAGCATGCATACTGACGTGGCTTTCTGCGACAGTCATGAGTCAGCCAGGGAGCAAAAATTTACGGCGAAGCGATTAAATACACACCAATGCACATAAATGTAAGATGAATTATTACCTCATTCACTCCCATTGTCTTGTAGCTCATTTGCCGACCGATGGAGTGCTTCACCATGCCGGAAACCAGTTTAGAAATGTCATCTTTCTCCTCACAAGGCGTCTTTTCAACAGCTGCAATGACATTTCATGTCAATAACAAATAAACTAATGTCTGAAACTAAGGTTTGAATCCAAACCATTGGTGTTATTGTCAACTAAAACTATTAAAAATCGATTTTGGTAGCTGAAGTAGGCACATACCTTTCGACTTCTTCTTGCCAAAGAGGCTTTTAGCCATCTTGGTGAAGAACTTCTTGGCGGGGCTGGGTGGATTAAGCTCAGGCATCATCACACAGCTGCTGGGAGGGAGTTTTTCTGGGGTGAAGCCCTGAGGGAGTTAAATAGTAGATGGATTTAAGAAAAAAAAATTAGAGGACTACAGAATTAAAATAAGGAACTGCCTAAGAACAAAGTAAACACTTCTTTATAATTAAGTTAAAAGGAAAAGGTTTAAATGTATTTGGACACAGATGAAGGACTACTCGGGGCTATTAGTATGCTAACCTTTGTGAAATACTCGTGGGCCAGTATCTGATCCAGTGTAAGGCGTTCAGAGGGGTCTTTCTGAAGGACTGCGGAGATCAGCTTCTGTGCAGATGGAGTGAGGGACTGAGGAAGGCTGTATCTCACTTCCTTAATACACTTGTATGTCTCTTTCAAGTCTAAGGTTTCAAAAGGTGGATTCCCACATAGGAGTGTGTACCTAAATAGACAAGAAAGGAACTCATCATCAGGGCTGCCACAACTGATGCATCATAAATCAACAATAATGTAGAGTAGTGCAGAGTAGACTTGATAAGACTTACATTACACAACCCAGCGACCAGAC